CATTTGCTTTGCGCTGGGGCGGTTTCGACCCCCATCCCAGGCTGATCCACCCCGCGGGTAACGTCGCAGGAAGAGTTCGATCATTCCGTTCGTAGTGCCAGCGATGCTGTCGCGGACATTGACCGCGCCACGGGGGGGGGGTCGCCCTGAAATGTTCTACCATATTGCAGTGTTGGTTCTTCGTTTTGAAGAGACACCGCCCCGCGTCATTCCTTCCGGCCCCCTCCCTCGTCCCCCCTCTTCGCGTATCTGCCCCTGCTCTCCGCGTGTCCCCGTCGTCATCGTCCATCGTCATCGTCGCCGTCGCCATCATCATCAGCATCATCAGCATTCTCGTCGTCTCCATCATCAATACCACCACCACCCTCATCAACATCATCAAAACACCCCCCTTGTTCCCCCGCGTTTCTGCTTCGCCACATCCCCCGCAAGTCTCGTGGCCTTGTGAGGTGCTCCACCGAAGGCCCCATCGGCAGGGTCCTTAGTGCGCCGCCCAGCCCATGTCGGCACGCCCCTCAGACGCTTCGTGTCCCCATGAGGAGCTCATCGGAGGTCCCGGCGGCAAGGTCCACATGCCGTCGCCCAGGCCACATTGATGACACCCTCAAACATTGCGTGCCCCCATAGGCAGCTCCACCAAAAAAAGGTCCCAGCGGCAGGTTTCCCAGGCCGCCGCCCAGCATATTTCGGCATACGTTTCACACGCTTCGTGGCCCCACGGGGAGCTACACCGACGGCCCCACAGGCAGGGCCCACAGGCCGCCGCCCAGCCCATTCCGTCATACGCTCACACGCTTCGTGGCCCCATTGGGGAGCACCCCCGATGGCCCAAGCGACAGGGTCCACATGCCGTCGCCCAGCCCATGTCGTCCACGAGTGGCGCCCAGCACGGCTCCAAGAGCGCCCCAAGAGGCGCCGAGTAAGTTGCACCCTCATGCAAATAGTTTTTGTCACTTGTGGGGGTCCTCTTGGGGCCCTCTTGGAGTATTCTTGGGGCCCTCTGGGAGCGTTCTTGGGGCCTTCCCGGGGCCCCAGTGGGCCCTCGGAGGGCCCCAAGAACGTTCCCCGAGGGCCCCAAGAGGGACCCCCCAAAGTGGTACAAAGAATTCGCGCGAACGTGCAATCTGTTGTAGGCCTTTCGGGGCCCTCTGGGAGCTCTCTTGGGGCCCCCATTGGTGGCGCCTTGGGGCCTTGGGATGGCTCCAAGAGGCTTCGGGATTGCCCCAGACCGCCACAAGACAGCTCCGAGACGGCCGTCGAGCACCACGGGTGAAAGCAAGTGAGGCTAGGGAACAGGGCATCTGGTAAGCCGCCACTGCGCCCCCTGGACTACCCAGACAGCGAGGGGACCTGAAACGCCCTGGGGCTCCAGGGGCCCCAGATTAGTGAAGTGAAGGCTTTTGCCTGCCAAGCACCCCGAAATTTCTCACTTCACTAAACCGGACCCAGGACGAACACGCTACGCTCCAGTCCCGCGGGAGATCCGAGACTCCCGCCGCCGCCCGGGGACGCTGCTGCATTGCGGTGCTCTGGTCACTGTTAATGGCTTCCGCGGGCTGCAGCGGCTCACTTCCATGACTACCCCGACTCACGAATCCAGTGGTTGGTCTGGCTCTATGGGTTGGTTTCGTTGTGTCGGTTGATTTTATGCTTGGTTGGCGGTCGGTGGATTTCGCGTTGTTCATTGGTGTCGTGAAGTGATTTGTCGTTTGGTTGGTCAGTGCCGTTTTGTTGATTCGTGCCGTTTTGTTGGTTGGTGTCGTTTCGTTGGTTGGTGTCGTTTTGTTGCTTGGTGTCGTTTTGTTGCTTGGTGTCCTTTTGTTGGCCGGTGTCGATTTGTTGGTTTGTTGGTTGGTGTCGGTTTGTTGGTTGGTGTCGTTTTGTTGCTTGGCGTCGTCCTGGCGGCGTGGCCGATAATCGGCGGCCTGCAATGGCGCCAGGATTTGTTTCGGGCCAGCCTTGATCGCCCTCATCATTCTCATATTCGTCAGCGTCAGCACTCGTCGCCCCCATCCGCGCACACATGCGGCCCTGGTACGGCTCTCACGCGGCCCTGCGAAGGCCTTCACTGTGCTCCCCAAAGCTATCTGAGGGGCCCCCCAGAGGCCCCAAGAGGGCACTGGAAATTGTCGCTTCCAACTCCGCCAGGCGGAGGTCAACAAGGGTCTCACTGGTGCACTTCCAGGAATCGTCGTTCGATCCTCTTGGGGCCCTCCTGGGGCCTTCTGGAGCCGTCTTGGAAGCTCCGAGCGGCTCCATGAAGGCGCCGGGCGATATCGCTTCCAATTCCGCCAGGTGGAGTTAGACCAGGGGCTCACTGAGGCCCCTTTTTGCGCCCTCCTCTGCCTTTGAAAAAGCCCCGATGGGGTTCTTCAGTGCCGTCTTAGGGCCCCTAAGAGGCCTCCAGTAGGGTATTGAAGTTATCGCTTCCAACTCCGCCACGCGGAGTTGAACCCAGGGCGGCTCTCTGTGGCCCTTTCGGGGCCTTCTTAGAGCTTTTCTGAGGCCCTAAGTGGGCCCTGGGAGGTGTCATTTTCACGGGCGTTGAAAGTGACACCGCGGAGGGCCCTCTTGGGCCCTTATTGGGGCCTCTCTTGGGTCCCTCTGGGAGCCCTCTTGGTGCCGCCCTGGGGCCTTCTCGGGGCCTTCTTGGAGCCTTTCTGGTGCTCTTTAAGTGGGCCCTGGGAGGTGTCACTTTCACGGGCGCTGAAAGTGACGCATCGAAGGGCCCGCTTTCCCTGGTAGCGCTGCCCGTGGCCGGGGCATTGTGCAGCGCATCCCTCGTCGAACGCATTTTGTCGGACGCGTGGTCGAATTCCGCCAGTTCGGTCGAGATGGTGGTCAAGCGGTTCGGTTGCAATGTAGCCATGCGGATCTGAGCTTACCATTTCTTGCCATTTTGGCGGGGGTTCGCGGGGGCGTTTGTGTTGTGATCAACTGTGCTCGATGTATCCAGCGGCAGCGTTTCATCCCAATATATTATTTTTGAAAAAGTCAGCAGGGGCCAACTTGGCGATGCGAAGCAACATAGGTCTCGTGCGAGGGCCCCGTCGAGAAAGTCGGATGGGGGGGCGGGGCGCTTATGCAGGGGTGGTGGGGGGGCGCGCGTCAGGCGCAGAGGAGCCCGCCGGTGCCCATCTCTTGCGGCGGTTTCCGAAGGGGTCGGGGGTCGCGCGGTGCTCGCTGCTGCCACCCGAGGCCCTCGCGAGGCTCAGGGAATGAGCTGCAGGGGCAGTTGCCTAACAGCGAAGACTGATAAGTTTCTAATAGGGTCAAAAGAAAGCATCATGGCTCCCCACTTAGATGGGTGCGGATACTATAAAACACGATATATATATATATATATATATATATATATATATTGTGCACTATATGATCCTATCAACATGCGTTTTAAAATAAGAAAAAATAGTAAACAATAATAAAAAATAATGAAAACAATAGTGTTAAATAGTGAAAATAGTAAAAATAGTGAAAAATAATGAAAAAATAGTAACAAATCGTGAGAAATTAAAAATGACAAATTCTAAGAAAAATCACAAACCAGCTTGCTTCTCCTCCTTTCTCTCCTGACTTTCCGCAGCGGCAGGCCGTTTTTACATTGCAAGTTGCACAGTGCAGCGGTTTGGCCGCTTCAGAACTTTCGTATTTAATCGCGCCCAGAACGTTGCGCTCCAACGGGGGAGGGGAGGTTAAGGAGAAGGAGGGGGGAGGGCAAATGCGTTCGAATCCCTGGATGGCAACCTCCGATGGCCTCGTGAGCCTCTTGTCGCGCTCGTACTGGGCCCGCGCAAGGCGTCGCTGCAGCCCCTGAGATGACAATGGCAGCGGCAAAACTGAAGGGAACCAAGAAGCTGAAGGGGCAAAGCGGTCGCACCGCTCCCCCTCCTCCTCCTTTTTTTTCCTGCCCCTCCTCTTCCTTTTGGATAACCTGCAAAACGGTCATTCCCAGAATCAGAATTGAAGGGGCAAAGCGGACGCGCCGCTGTTCCTCTTCCTCCTACTCCTCCTCCTCCTCCTCGTCCTCCTCCTCCTCTTCCTCGTCCTCCTCCTCCTTGTCCTCCTCGCCCTCCTCCTCCTCCTCCTCCTCCTGCTCTTCCCCCCCCTTCGTCCTCCTCTTCCTCCTCTTGGATGGCCTCGCAAAGCGATCGCGCGCGAAGGATCGGGGCATGAGGGGCAGAGCGGGCGCACCGCTCTTCCTCCTCGTCCTCCTCCTCGTCCTCGTCCTCCTCAACCTCCTCGTCCTCCTCCTCCTCCTCTTCCTCCTCTTCCTCTTCCTCCTCCTCCTCCACCTCCTCCTCCTCCTGCCCTTCTCCTCCTCCTCCTCCTCTCCCTCCTCCTTTCCTCCTCCTCCCTCCCCCCCCCCCCCCCACCCTCCTGGATTGCCTCGCAAAGTGGCAGAGCGGTCGCGCCGCTCCGACTGTCTCTCCTCCTCCTTCTCCCCCTCATCTTCGCCCCCTTATCTTCCCTTGGGTAGCCTCCCGAAGCGGTCGCGCCGCTAAATCTCGACATCGATTGCCGATTGCGCTTTTTTTCTCGGGAAATGCACTTCGGCGCCCGCGGGTACTTATGCCATATCCACCAATAACAGCGTTCCAGAAGCCTCTTGTGTCCAGAGAGGCTGTGCCATGAAGGAGTCGCACTGCGCGAACTTCGGGGCGTCGCCCTTTCGCCGCCGTGAGGCGCTGGGCAACACCTGGCAAATAAAATGCAACTCCTGAACAATCAACGCCACGTTGCCGCCTTCCTCGGTACCGCCGAGGATAAAATAGCGCTTCTCACCAATGCGCAGAATATCTCCAGCTGATATGCGAGAGCCGCCCACAAGAACGACCTTCGAAACGTTCATGGCGTCGTTGTATTTGATGCCGCGCGCCAAGGCATTCCCAAATGGAACATAATGTTGCGCATCGTGGCGCTGAAGGGCAATAGCTCGTGTCAGTAATGATTTCTCGAAGCACCGCGTGTTGTCGATGCATTCAGCGATCTGCAGCGATTTTTTAATGGTACCTCTCCGTCACAAGCGTATCAAGTGCGAACCCATCCCTGAGCAGCTGTCGCGGCAGGTGCCTGCAGAAATCAAACTTCGGGATGTACATGCCGCAATCACCGTGCGCAGACTCGAAAGCCACGGCGTGGTCGCGGATCGCCACGGCCCAAGCATCTGCCACAGCCGCGCCCCTCTTGGCCAGCAAATACAGAAAAATTGATTTGGCCAGCGCGGCAAAGGAGGCCAGCTCCTTTGCAAAGTCCAGCTTGAACTGAGCGGACCCAGCGGTACGTACATCGAGAGCGTACCGAATGAGCGGTACTGATCTCGCTCGCCTTGGCGCTGTATTTCTTGCCGGTCTGCAAGTGCTTTTGCCGCTGGTCGCTGAAAAGCCTGTTGGCCTCCAGCATGCCGCTGGTCGCTGAAAAGCTGCAAGTCTGCCACTGCGCGCTGGCGATGTCCCTGAAGCGCTCCGACGTCAGGCCGACGGCAGCGAGGCGGCACAGAAATTCACTCAGTTCAATCTGAGCGATCCCATTTATGATCATGCAGTGTGCTGGGTCGTACGCGTGCATGTCCAGCGACACGTGCTGGCGAAGCCCAGCGTCCAATAGCAAACCATATGGCACGTGATTAACGCCGCGCATCTTGCATTGCTCCTCGAACGCGCCCTCGGGCAGCGTGGCTTGCAGACGCTGGGGCAGGTCCGCGGAGAAGAACAGGTCCTCCGCGGCGCGCGCGTCGAACAGGTTGGGATCAGAGCACGAAATGGGCACCGGCGTGCTCGTCCTGTCATGCGCTGACAGCAGGGGCTCCGAGTGGTCGCATATGCCGTGCACATTCTTGCGCAGAGCGCAAGGAATTACGCCAGCGGCGCCCTTCAAGCACAAGGCATTTTTAGCGCCATCTTCGTCGTAAAGCAGGTTCGACAGCTTAAAGAAGATGAGCGCAGGGGCGCCGCCAGGTCCAATGCCATCAATGAGGATGCCCCTCTGCGACGCGCTGTCTGGGCCAATAAAAAGTCGTCGCAACAGTTGGCGAACGACCCCAGACATCTTGCCGGCAACCTTATCGACCACTGTGTGGCGAACAAAAGCGAGAGGCAACCAAGCGCCCTCGCACGACACCGCGTCAGGGCCGAAGGAGCGGAAGCTCCCGTAAGACGAGGGCGGCTTGCGTTTGTTATCTTGCCGCAAGACATAGCCTGGCACGAACTCATCGAAGTGCAAGATGAAGTCCCGCGGCGCCGCTGGGGAGCACGGGAATTTTCTTACAGCTGTGGGCAGCAAATTCCTGAAGCTCGCAGATTCGGAAGCGCAGCGTTGAATGAGGCTGGCGAAATTGACGACGGGCATGTCGAAGGCCGCGCCGCTTGCCAAGTTCAGCTGTATTGGCGCATCCAGAAATGCTGATGCGAATTCATCGTTAGCCTTTCTGATCCTCCACTTCGTCATGTCGTCAATGATCTCTGGCTGCTCCTTCAAGCAGCGCGCAATGCCGATCACTGCCGCGTTCGACGCTTTAAACGAGGCAATCAGCGGAGCCAATGCGCGCGACCTCTTGGAGACGTTCTCGCCCGCATCGGAGCTTGAACGTTTCGTCGGAGATGGGGCTGGCTTGAGCAAAAACTGGCTCGAGCCCGAGCTGGCTCGGGCGAAAGCTGGCCTGAGCCAGCGCCGCGGTTGAGGCGGCGCTGAGCGGAAGCATTGGCATGAACGTGCAGGCGTAACGAAGCGGTCAGACCGCTGCGCCGGTGCAAATACAAGTGAAGCGGCAATGCCGCTGCAAGTTGAGAAGGACATCACTATAGCAAAGCGGCAATGCCGCTGCAATGCAACTACAAGTAAAGCGGCAATGCCGCTGCAAGTGAAAACGCCATCATTAGCAAAGCGGCAATGCCGCTGCTGCGTGCGACAACATCATGATGTATTCCGTGGTTGGGGAGGAGGGATAAGCGGTCAACTCGTGCAGGAGGGGAGGGGGGAGGAGGAGAAGGAAGAGGGGGGGGGAGGGAGGGGGAGGAGGGAAGCGCGTTTGCTATGGGAACTGCATCGGCGCGGACTGCTGAGAGGAGCAACGCAGCAGCTCCCGATGTATACGACGCTAGCAAGAGGAGCAACGAGCTCCTTATACATCCTACGCGAGAGCGGCAACGTCCGCTGTGTGCCCCTGCAAGCACGCTCAGGAGCAACGAGCTCCTTATAAATCCTACGCGAGAGCGGCAACGTCCGCTGTGTGCCCCTGCAAGCACGCTCAGAAGTCCAGGTAGCTGCCGCCACGGTCATGCCATCGGTAACCAACCAGTCGATGGAGACTTACTCCGAAGTGATCTGGCCAGAGGCCCAGTGGATCACTTCTTCTTGGCCCACGACTGCGTCTCGAAAGCAGCCTTGGTATTCTTCATCCACGATGTCATGTAGTTGACAGCCGTCTTAACCTCCTCCTCCCTGGCGTCTGGGACGACATCCTCGTCCTCCAGGCACTTGTTGCAATACTCCACAACATCACTCATAAACTTCTGCTTTTTGGTGGCCTCCTCAGTGTACGTCGTCGGCGCCTGAAATGAGAGGGGGCGACTCCCCCCTCCTCCTCC